CAGGTAGAGTAGGTGGGTGAGTCAGGACCTGGTAGAGTAGTTGGGTGAGTCAGGACCAGGTAGGTAGGTAGGTGGGTGAGTCAGGAAACAGGTAGAGTAGTTGGGTGAGTCAGGACCAGGTAGGTAGGTGGGTGAGTCAGGATCAGGTAGGTAGGTGGGTGAATCAGGACCAGGTAGGTAGGTGGGTGAGTCAGGATCAGGTAGGTAGGTAGGTGGGTGAGTCAGGACCAGGTAGAGTAGGTGGGTGAGTCAGAACCAGGTAGGTAGGTGGGTGAGTCAGGACCAGGTAGGTAGGTGGGTGGGTCAGGACCAGGTAGGTAGGTGGGTGAGTCAGGACCAGGTAGGTAGGTGGGTGAGTCAGGACCAGGTAGAGTAGTTGGGTGAGTCAGGACCAGGTAGGTAGGTGGGTGAGTCAGGACCAATAAGTAGGTGGGTGAATCAGGACCCGGTAGGTAGGTGGGTGAGTCAGGACCAGGTAGAGTAGTTGGGTGAGTCAGGACCAGGTATGTAGTTGGGTGAGTCAGGACCAGGTAGGTAGGTGGGTGAGTCAGGACCAGTAAGTAGGTGGGTGAATCAGGACCAGGTAGGTAGGTGGGTGAGTCAGGACCAGGTAGAGTAGTTGGGTGAGTCAGGACCAGGTAGGTAGGTGAGTGAGTCAGGACCAGTAAGTAGGTGGGTGAGTCAGGACCAGGTAGGTAGGTGGGTGAGTCAGGACCAGTAAGTAGGTGGGTGAATCAGGACCAGGTAGGTAGGTGGGTGAGTCAGGACCAGGTAGAGTAGTTGGGTGAGTCAGGACCAGGTAGGTAGGTGGGTGAGTCAGGACCAGTAAGTAGGTGGGTGAGTCAGGACCAGGTAGAGTAGGTGGGTGAATCCGGACAAGGTAGGTAGGTGGGTGAGTCGGGACCAGCTAGAGTAGGTGGGTGAGTCAGGACCAGGTAGAGTAGGTGGGTGAATCAGGACCCGGTAGGTAGGTGGGTGAGTCAGGACCAGGTAGAGTAGTTGGGTGAGTCAGGACCAGGTAGGTAGGTGGGTGGTTGAGTCAGGACCAGGTAGAGTACAGTGAGGGAAAAAAGTATTTGATCCCCTGCTGATTTTGTACGTTTGCCCACTGACAAAGAAATATAATATTCCGCGTGAATTGTTCATCAAATTGTACAGCCGGAGGATGAAACGCATCCGAGGAGGTGGCCACCGGGGAGAGAGTGGGTCGTGAGGATCGGCTCGCGAGCTGGTGCTTCGCGGATCATTGCGTCGTAGGATCGTGAGGGTTTTGGGCCATTGCTTGGGGTGGCCTTCATCCAGCAGTGGATTGATACTGGTTCATGATGGTGATGATGAGCGCCGTCTTCAGGAACACGGATCTCGTTATTTTAACTCGCAGATAAAACACAGGCTGTGACATTACAAACAAGGAGGAGCCATTTCGTGAGCAATTTACAGGAGGATTTGTGTGTAGCCTTTGGCATGACTACACGATAGCATTTGTCTGGTAGAAGGGGCATTTGGGTTTTAGTGAATTTGACCCGAATGCATCGTGGTTCATTAACATTCGTACTCTGAGTAGCGTGGCACATTTGCGTATGTGGCTGTCCCATCCCAGCCTATTCACAATGCAATGGAGCAATCACGTCAAGCCATTTTGGTGGCGATATAATATAACGGATCACAGCTTAGGGAATACACAAATAAGAGCTGGGGGAACATTTGATTATTTCAAAAAAAAATGTTGCCTGCACATAATTTAACTCGAATGCTTTAAAAATAAACATATTATTAACAGAACATCCAGAACAGTGACAGCTAGCACATAATGCCGTACTGCCACTACATACCGATGGCATATATTCAAGCAGAGTAAAAGAACAATTTATAAATATGTATTTATAAAGGGATTCAGTATTGTAACGATATTGATGTATGTCTATTAAACACAATATAGCAAAATCGGTAGCACATCTATGCGTGGCCTTGGGGGAGCTCATGACTGTTGCTTTTACCAGCGTCCCTCAAATGCGCAAAGGCATATTGACGTTTCAGTCTGCAAAGGAGGACACAGTGGTAACAAACTAGAGGAGAATTTTCTCCTCTGCTCTTAGCCAGCGCAGTATGCAGCAATAGTTTAATAGTTATAACAGCTCAATGAGTTTAAACTTTTCACATGTAAAGCCTGTCCTTTTTGTTATCCTGTGAATGATGTCATGTTCCTGTTCTGTCTGTTCATCACTCCCCATCGCCTCTTTCCGCCTGGCTTTCTCTTTTAACGCTGAGCCGCGATGGGACGTGAAGTGTTCTCACTCACGGAACGATGCGAGACGATAACTTGAAATATTTAGAGTGGTGGAAAAACTTTTTTTTTCTTCCGTATATTTTCAAATACACACACACACAAAGTCAGAAAATACCCTGCGGTGTTCCCAGCCACTAATAAGATTCCCTGCACTCGGTACTGGGCTAGGTCGTAAGATTCACCACCGATGGCCGTGGCTGCTACCAGAAGTGCACGCAGTGATAACAAGTAACCCAGGGGCATCTCTTACAGACCGCACGTCACACACAGTCAAGGGCTGGGCCACCAACACAGCGAGTGACAACCAGTGCCACCTGCTAAGCCCCTCGCCCATGGGGTGACTCCTTGCCTGCACCTGCCCTGCTGTTTATGCCATTTATTGTGAAAATCCCGTCACAGTTCCTATGATTGCTTTTTCATTGCTTTCATGGCTTTATTTTGGTGATTTCGAAAAGTGTATTGGTTTAGCCATGTTTGTTTGTTGTAGTACAGAGTTAGACTGATGGCCTTAATCTAAGTGTTCTTGTGGTTGTTGTTGTTTGACTTGCATCCCACTGGGATTTTTGCACACAGCGTTGGTGTACGGTGTTTTTTCTGCAATATTTTGCTGTCTTTTCTTGGATTTTCTGTTTGCACTTAGTCACATATTCACTTTAAGATGTTTTTTGTTCATGTTTTTGTTTTTTGTTTGTTGCGGTTGCACCCGATTCAAGAGCCGAATGGCTCACAGGGCTATACCTAATAAATGAACTTGAACTTGAAGTGGCCCGGCTTTCTCTGCCCGTAACGAGTGAATTGCAGACACAACTCCGACTGATCAGCGCAAACCAACGCCGCCACACATGGTAGTAACGTGACAACCTCCACACTCCCCTCCCGGAGGTTGGCTGGAAGAGCGCAAGAAGCGTGGTCATTAACATCTACGCCTCTCTCTCAGGAACGAAACAGGTGGACTTCTCCACAAATCTAGCTGTCGCCTGATGAAGCTAGTTGTAATCACCGGCGAAACGTCGTACTCAGATGGTAAATGTTGTGGCTTGTCTCTCCAACACACAACCAGTGTGCAGTACTAATGACGAATTGGCCACGTTCTGTTTACGTGACAACCGTTACTAGTTGGCTGTGTCGGATGGTGGCGGGTTTTAACGACACATTTATATATTTACGCGATCTAACCCAAAAAACCCTCTATTATAGAAGAGGCAGTCGGCGGACCACGCTTGCTGCTTCGTTGATGTTAAATATGCCCGGCTCCGAGAGTCGAGCCACGCGCACTGCTTTCTATGCATCCACTCATTTAAATTCCGTTGGGCTGACAGACACGTCTCTGATGAGGACAAGCATCAGCATCAGCAACAGCAGCAGCAACAACGACAGCAGCAACAGCAGCAGCAACAGCGGCAGCAACAGCGGCAACAACAGCAGCAACAGCAGCAGCAACAACAACAACAGCAGCAGTAGCAACAACAACAGCGGCAACAACAGCAGCAGCAACAACAACATCAGCAGCAGCAACAACAGCAGCAGCAACAGCAACCACAACAGCAGCAACAGCAACAACAACAGCAACAACAACAGCAGCAGCAGCAACAGCAGCAGCAACAACAGCAACAGCAGCAACAGCAACAGCAGCAACAACAGCAGTAGCAACAGCAGCAACAACAGCAGCAGCAACAGCGACAACAACAGCAACAACAACAACAGCAGCAACAACAGCAGCAACAACAGCAGCAGCAACAGCAGAAACAACAGCAACAACAACAGCAGCAGCAACAGCAGCAACAACAGCGGCAACAACAACAACAGCAACAACAGCAGCAGCAACAGCAGCAACAACAGCACGGCCCTTTCCACATGTAACAGCATCGCAACAGAGTCCGGCTCTCGTGCTCACTGGCAGAAACACAGCGACACGGCACGAGATGTGCTACTCGGGGTTCCTTATTTTGTCTTACCGTTGTTGTCGTTGTTGTTGCAATTATATAATAGTTTCGCAGAACGTTAAAGTAATAATTGTGTAGTGCGAACACACAAAAAAAGATTCGTTTGTCCAATCAATCAATTGTCCCAGGATGAAGTATTCAACGGGTTCGTGATGTTATGACGTTCAGCACTCCACGGTTTTTTTTCTGTAGTCTTTAGAATGTTTTTCTTTAGTCATTGAAACATTTGAATTTGTAAAGATTGCTATACACCTACGATTGGCACGGTTGGCTACGTACGGCGAGAGAAAATTCAATAGACTATACAATTGCCGAAACATATGTGCTCATCCATTGCGAGCAGTTAAGAGCAGTACAACCCCAAATTTAAATACATTACTACAAACGCACGTGTAATATATACAGTGTAGAGATTTAAAGTCCAAATATATAGCACATCTGTATATTTCTAGATTTGAAGTTTTCGTGTTTTTTTCGGTAAAGTCACGTAGGTAAAAAATAGAATAAAAATGAAAACTAAATGAAATCACATCTGTATATACAAATAAAAAAACTTACATCTCACTGACACGGCTAATTTAATTTTTAACGTTACCCATCTACGTTTTGTGACGCTGTACAGAAAGAACCTGCAATTGTGATGTCCATCATAATTGCACTATAAACACTTACTGACGGTTATGATGAAGCAGCAGCAGCAGCAGCTCCTGCCATGCATTTTTATTTCCATTACGTCTTGCATTAAAGTTGCTTCGTCAATAACGACTTACCTAGCGGGGAGCACGTAGCATCATCACCATCATCCGTCTCTGCCCGGGATGACGACTGATAATCTGCCCTCTTCTCAACGGAGCAGCCGCCGACTGGGTTAGCGCCACTTGGCTCTGGCGGTCAGATTCGCCACGCCTGCTCGCTGGTCCGTCTTCATCCACCCTCCCCCTGCCCCTTCGCAAGCGACGCGCAGAGCGGAGCGCTCGCGGGCTCTGCTCCGGCTGCTGCTGCTGCTGCACGGGGCAGCAGAGAGGGCTGTGAGACTCTGCCGTGTTTACCGCCTCTCCCCGCCGGAGCGCATGGAAGCGGTCTCGCAGCTACCCCCCACCACCACATCCACATCCACCCCCCAAACGCGCGCACGTCGTTCACGAACGCCGCGTCCTTCCATTGGGCCGGGCGCAGAGCCACCCCTGCCTCTCATCCTCCTCCTCCTCCCCAGATCCACCGCTCCCCTCCCTCTCTCCCTCCCCATCAGCACCAGCACCGCTCCCTCCTTTCAATCAGCACCCCCCCCACCACCACCACTGCTGCTCCCTCCCTCCCACCGCTCCTTCCCCGGAACATGAACACGAGCTTGCCTCCTTCCCACACGTGCAAGCACTCCTCCTCCATCCTCCCCTCCTCCCTAACACATCAACACTCGCTTCCCTGCCTCCCCGCCGCGTGTTCCTTCCATCCCTCGCACAGCACCAGCAACCCCCTCTCCCAACCCCCTTCCATCCGCACCATCGCAAGCGCGCCTCCAACCTCGCCGTCTGCCCACCCCCTCCCGCCCTCCCTACCGGACCCCATTCACTGGGGAACGCCGTCACAGAGATGGGGGAAGGAGCGAACGTCGGGCCGTGAGACGTGATTAAGAAAATCTTGCACATCGGCGTCCCTGGCTTGCCCGATCCCTCACGATTAATTATCTGCCTGCCATAATGTCACCCAATTTAACGGGCTGCGGTCACTGCGTTTTCTCCACGTGTTTTTTTTGGCTGGCTGAAATCTCTAAAGCCCTCCCGGAGATCCATTAACATTGAAATTACCAGCTCATGAAGATTATTGACACAATGCGGCGGCGATTAATGATTCTACCCGCATGAGTGAGAGAAAAGACTCGTGCATTCTGTTGCTTTTATTGGAGCTGATGGTTGGAGCATGAAACAATCGTCCCAAGCAGCACATCATATGAACCACCGGTTCATTGCGTACACTCTGGTGACAATTCTAAGTATTTAAATTACGCATTCCTTGTTGCGAAAATACACTCCAAGACCAGATACAATATTGTAATTAACACCTGCATAAAAAAAAACAATATATACTTGATTCTAGATTTGAAGCTTTCGTGACTGCAAGGATTCATATTCTTAGGTTTTTTCGGTAAAGTCACGTAGGTAAAACATCAAAATTAATAAAAAATAAAATAAAAGAATATAATATATACTTGTTTTCTCCTCATAAAAATGCCACACTTTTAGTATTACAAGCAATCTCAATAGTTATGTATTTGCAGATGTACGAGTGTGTGTTATTGGGGTGTGTACGCGTCAGCATGAAGAGAGAGAGAGAGAGACTCTCTTTGTGAAGTGTTAATCATGCTATGTGCAAAATGTAGCTAAGCTTAGTGATGGAGCATTTTTATATCTGCACATACTATAGATGTATGACAAATGAACCAGCACTGTTTCCCAAGGCCAGCCTTAACCCACATTGCTTATAAAATAATCTAAATCCGTGCATATCGGAGACTTGGTTCAATTGAGTTAACAGCAAGAGTCGTGTATGAAAAAATGTGTAAAGGCTATAAATGGTGCAGAATTTGATTATTTAAATAAATGTTGGTTTGGAAAGCCCATAGGCTGATGGACTCAAACAAATATTTGACTGCACACGTTTTTGCAGTTGTGCCATGCAGCTATCCAACGCTGTACCACGTGTTATTCAGCACGATGTCCGACGTTTCGCTATATATTATCGGGAGCTTATCAAGGATGAGCAAAAGTTCGTGAAGTAGTTTCCGAAACGTGGACCGAAATGGACATCACGCCCCAACAACCTCGAAATACAACAACCCACCACAGCCTCTGACAGCTCGTTTTAACGACACTTATTTTATAAACCACGAAAACCACAAAAAACACATTTGACTTCATGTGGGCAGACGAATGTTGGAGGAAGTTGCGGTGTGGAGGGTGGGAGCGAGAGGAATAGGGAGGTGACGGCTTTTTGTATTTATTAAAAAAAATCAGTAATTTAATTTTCGACCACCAAAAAAACGCGCTCTCTGCCACGATGCGAGTTTGATGCCCTCCAATGCGAAGCACCAATCAAAGCTGCCCTTGCGCTCGCCAATGCAGAGAAAGGGCCCTTGCCTCTCGCCGCGGCAGCGCAGTTTCAATGCTCATTCATCACCCGCCACAAACATAACTGCTGGGGACATGACACACCGCGATGTATATTACAGCGAACAAGCGGTAACAAATCATGCTGATTAGCTTCGCAGTGGCACGACCCCCCCCCCCCCCGCTCCTTCACTAAAAGCCCCCCCCCCCTCCCACACCAGCACACGTGTGATGAGCGCAATCGGATAGTAGCAGCAGCAGCGCATCCTCGCTTGTGATGTGTCTGTCCCGTGCATACCACGCGTGGCGGCACACGTGCTCGTGCAACAGCCCCGTTTTTTTCATTTCTTATAATTTGCATAAATTACATTGGCGGAGTGACCCAATATATTATTCACAGAACCCCCCATCCACCCTCTCCTCATCCTCCTCCAGTCCAAAAAAAAATCTAAAAATCCCACCCACCCCAGCCGTTCTCATATTAAAAGTCATGGTTCAATTCTTGTGCTCGCAGCACATAAACCGGATTTATGAAGCCATTGTTCTATTACGCTTCAGCATATTATTTGCAATAAATCGTGAGATATGTGTTTTTGTTTTCTAATTGTTATCGTAATGGCACATGTATGATATGCTTCATTTTTTATGTGCCTTTTATATCGTGTAGAGATCATAGCTTTAAAAACATATTTAAGCTTATTTGACGCGTATATTTAGATAGTGCTATATAGTTCTAAACAATAACAATAACAAACTCAACTCATTCGTCAATAACACTGTGGCCTAAAAACGTTTCAAACAATCGTCCTTTTTCATTTAATCTTATATTCGTATATTATCTACATGCATATAGCGCCTTTTCCTATGCGCTTTACAACAATTATTACATTGTACAACAAAGATGATGATAGTAGGAGTAGGGTTTTCCCCTTTTTTCTGGCAAACAAAAAAATGCAAAAAACAAAAACAAATCAGAGTGTGTTTTTTTGCATTTTGACCACAAGTATTGTGGTTAATGCAGACACTATTCCTCGTAAAAAGGTTTCAGTTTTGTTGCCAGAAAATAGGGGAAAACCCCTATTATTATATTCTGGTACTGGCAAAGGAGGTCTAATAACAAAGATGATAGTGGTTTTGAGATGAAGAATTGGGTTATTAAAAGTGGTGGCGGAGTCTTCAAGGAGGGGTTGGGATAGGCCTGGCCGGAGCTGGTGTGGCGACGGAGAGCTGTGGGGGCGGAGAAATATTGAGGCATTGCATTGGCAAGACAGAGGGGGTAGTCAAGGGGCGGCAGTCAGGCACGTGAAGGTGCTGCGAAGAAGCGTTGCTACGAAGAAGCGCCATTGCCCTAAACGTTGCCTATTCTATACTTTTAAGTCCACAGCGTTATTGGCGCACGAGTTGAGTTGTGGTTGTTATTTGTGTTTGTGAACGGCCGACAATGCAAGTATCAGCGAATAATGGGTTTAATACAGCATCAGTAGTAGCAAGCAGGAATGAAAAATCAACAAAGATATAGCGCCCCAGTAATTTAGTTGGGTTTCACTTCACTTGTTATGAGTATGTGTGCCACAGTTGGATTATTTATATTTCTATTTGAGAACTTTAAATGCCAGCTGGTCGATTCCTTGCATTGTGAATTATTATCACTTCATGCTATTGCGTATTAATATTATTATTGTCATCATCAATACAGTTTGAATCGAGCAAGCTGAGTTTGATTCCCAGCCAATGGCTAAGATCAGCGGTGGGTGATAACTGAACCAGATTTGAATCCTGCCCATAGTCACTCACCCGCACGAATTTACGTGGTGAATTATGGCCAAACAGAGCCCTGTGAACGACATGGCATGATAAGGCCTACATCCAGCAGTGGACTAACTAAGGCCTGTGCGTTATAATCAGATATTTTTGAAATTTAAATTGTATAAGTCACTTTACAGAATCTAATTACATCATATTATAAATAACACGTACATAGATGAATGATAAATAACCACGTACACTCAACTAAAATAAAATGTAAAAATCCTTCACACAGTGGCATATAATTTGCTACATATATCACGCTGTACCTTGTATATCCCAACTCAGGTAATGGGAGCTCAACCTGCAAGGCATGGCTATAATGTTGATTGACAGAAGGAAACCATGCCAAATGTAAATCAATATTCTTCTCCGAAGGACATTTGCTTGTTAGTTTTGTTACTAAATTGACTATAAAGGTAGCACTTTGTTATCATTAAATACATTACAATAAAGAACCCCACAACAATGCACCATATTGGCTTTTAGAAACATTGAGTAATTTTAATAAGATAGCCCAATTAGGCGAGGAGTCTTATAGCCTGAATAAATATACACTGTTCTCAAATTACACGATGAAAACTCAGTCAGAAAATGTACAAAAGCAGTCACCCTTAAGCAAAGATAAAACAACTCAACAAAATGAATATGGATCGTTTTTAGTTTATTGTTTTGGCGTCTAAGCATGGTTCATTATAATCATGAGTCTCATCATTATTTACAACCCTTTGGCAACCCACTGCTTGATAAATTCCTCCCCATGCCACGTTGGTCAAGGAAGGTTTTTTTTTCCCCTGGAGTATACTTCACCACACTGGTACGTGCTCTTGGGCTGAGACATTACTCGCAAGATAATTCCGTTACACCTTTCTCTTCTGCAATCACTCCAGTGACAAAAACAACAACAACTTATAATGAAAACCCAAGATGTACATGTGCTCTTCTCTGCAGGGTATAAAATGGTCATTGTGCCAGGATACGCATTTTTGGCTACGACCGATTGCAAGCTCACTCCTAGTGGTGAGCTTGCAGCGAATTTGAAGCAGCGGCAATCACATTGCTTGGGATGCCATTCGCAGTCCATTGGGAAACATTGGCTGCCAACAGGAAAGATTTAAACAACGTTCAACATTTTTCTTCTGTCTCTTAAATATCGTCGTTGCAATAACTCAATGCCGCAGATGTGCAT